CATGGCTCCTATCTCCAACGTTTGATCCATTGCTCCCCAGAAAATTCTCGCTGGAAACCTAACTCAACCCACCAAATGGCGGCGTATAGAGCCGAAGACGATTACGATTACCTTTTCAAGGTGGTGCTGATCGGCGATTCGGGTGTGGGCAAATCGAATTTGTTATCTCGATTCACCAGGAACGAGTTCAGTCTCGAATCCAAATCCACCATTGGAGTTGAATTCGCCACCCGCAGCATCCATGTTGATGACAAGATTGTTAAGGCCCAGATTTGGGACACCGCCGGTCAGGAGAGGTACATACAAATTTCCCATATCATATCTGTTGTTGTTGTTGTTTTATTGGTCGGTGTATCTGTTTTATGAACTGGGTGTTTGGAATTATGGTTTGTGGGGTTCTTTGATTGCTAAATTGTGGGAAAGCTCTGAACTTTTTGTGTTTTGTTGGGGGATGAATCTGGAGCAGAAAGTTATCTGGGATTTTGAGTGTTGCTGGAAGGCTGATATGATGACATTGTGGGTACATTCTGTTTCTTTGAGCTAGTCACATTGCAAAGTTGATTGGGTTGTTTGGTTTCTGGATCTTTAGTTAGTGTCTTCTTCTTTGGGAATTTTGGGGTGGCAGATGGAATCATTATCTTTGCTATTGACAATTGCAAAGTTGACGGCCATTCTCTTTACATTTCATTATTTTCTACAGTTAGGTGTGGTACTTAAGTTTGTGTCCATATTTGCTGCTGACTGCTGAGAAAATATGGGAAGTGATGAGGGGTTTAACTCTCAGATTTGGTTGGCGGCTATTGAATTTGGTGATGTTTCTCTCTGGCAGTAGGAACTCAATGAAAAACTAAATGGTAAAATTATTCTCTATGTAAGAAACTGAAACCTTTAGCTTGTCAACTGCAATGTAATTCGTTTACCAGAGACTTGTATGATTGTGTCAGATGCTGCTCTTGGAGAATTGTTCTGCCTCTTTGAAGCAATTCAATTGCTTCAAAGTTGTTTTTTTGTGACTTTACTCTTCTGCTTGAATTTGCTTACCATCAGTTAGAAAATGAATTAAGCTTCAAGGTTTTTGAGAACAAGGATAAGAACGCTTTTTTAGTTACTTATTTTGCTAGCTATGCTGACAAAAGATTTAGTCAATTTTTGAAGATAAAATATATACTTCTATTTGACAGAGTAATGGAAGGGAAACTATGCTATTGATATTTTGGCAATGAATGCCTGCATCATTGTAGTCTTTTCTTTAAATGAGTGTGTATGGTTTTGATTGGAAAGCAAAGTTAGTGCTTACCATTGGAGGGCTTCAACCCCTTACCTTGAACCATAATCAAGGTTTTGAAGTTGGTAAGTGAATGTGTATTATAATCGTTGGAAACTGATTTCCTTTTTATGTTCGTTTCCTAGATATCGGGCAATTACTAGTGCATATTACCGAGGAGCTGTTGGTGCATTGCTTGTCTATGATGTCACTCGACATGTCACATTTGAGAATGTTGAAAGATGGTTAAAGGAGCTTCGTGATCACACTGATAACAATATTGTGATCATGCTTGTTGGTAACAAGGCAGACTTGCGACATTTACGTGCTGTTTCCACTGAAGATGCTAAGAACTTTGCTGAGAGAGAGAGAACCTTCTTTATGGAGACATCAGCCCTTGAGTGTATGAATGTAGAGAATGCATTCACAGATGTACTAACTCAAATATATCATGTAGTGAGCCGAAAAGCCCTAGATATAGGGAATGATCCAGCAGCATTGCCAAAGGGACAAACCATTAATGTTGGGGGAAAGGATGATGTTTCAGCTGTCAAGAAAGTCGGTTGCTGCTCTGTTTAAATATAGAAGGATCAAGAGTGTCATGATTTCCATATAAGCACAAGACCTTCTAGGGTATCTTGCAGGTGCCGGAATGTACCTGATATTACTGTTTGGAGTTTGCATCTCGTAAGAAATACTGCAGCTTAAAATTTTATTATTCGATTTGACTTCAGTTGCTTTCATTATTTTTCTTTTTTATTTTTTTATAAAAATTTTCTCCCTCCTGTAAGGTTCTACTCCTTAGCTTTGGTAGTTTTTGTTGTATCAGATGCTTTAGAATACAATGTTTTCATATTGCTTTAATGGATATACCGGGCTCCCATGTCCATTTCTTTAGTAAAGTAGTACAGAACCCAAATGCCAAACATGCAGCTCAACAATAGAACAGAAATTTGAATTAAAGAAGTTCATTTTTTCATAACAAAGGTGTTCAGATTTATAACCACAGCATAATATAGGGATTCGAACCATGTTGAAATGTTGAATCCCAGCGGGTTAAGGGATTATTTGCACCCCTAACTTGCATTGTGTAGGAAGTCTTAATATGTATCTAAGCTCTGTCTGATATAGTCGTTATCATAGGTTTAGGTTTAAAATTTTTTTGTAACAGTTAAAATGTAAACTAAACAATTTTATTTATTTAGAGTTATTAAATTTGTAAAACCCAAGCCAAAAACCAAAACTCATACAAAGCAGATCTAAGGTCAAAGATTTAAACCTCTCCTCCGCAATGCATTGCATCCTTCCAAGGGACATACATCACCAAAGAGAAACAAGAAAGTAGCATGGTGGTCATAAGATAGAAATACATACCTTCGAAACCCTTTTAAATGGCCCAATGACATGAATGACAAGGTAACTGATGTAAGCTTAGTTTGAGAGTACTGCTTATAATTGTAGGTTTTTGTCTTTTAATATTGTAAAAACAAAAAGACATAGTGCAATTCAAACTATATTAAGCTGCATTACACTAATAATTAGATAAGAGTGAGTCTTTTAATATTGGGCGATTTTTTTCTTATATAATAGTTTAACCTATAAAATAAAGTTCTCTTGTAAAAGTATGTAAATTATATTTAATATTTATTTTAATTAATATTTTATATATTTTTAAGAATAAAAAGGTAAAAAAAAAAAGATGCTATTCCAACAATTCTTCTTTACACATAACAGGTGAAATGGCATGCTATTTGCCTTGCTTAAAATAAAAAAGGTTTTTTTGATGACCCTCCCTTTTTTCCAAGCATGAAACTCATTCATAACTTGATGAAAGAATATCATAAATTGCACCTTAATGATTAGACAATTGGCAAAAATAAAGGGTGAACTTTCTATGTTAAATGGGTTAAAACAAAATACCTTGAATATTTCTTCAATAACTCCTCCAAACTAATGTAATTGAAAAAAACCAAAATTGTAAGAAAAATAAATAATTATCAAGCTACTGATAATCTTAATGAATTTTAAATATGCAGACTGAGTTAAAATAAAGTTTTCTAAAGGAAATTTAAATATAAAAAAACAAATTAAGGTAAAGTAAATGAAACTAGAAACATAAAAAATTCTACCAACAATATCAAATATAAATGAATAAAAATAAAATCGAATATGAAATTGGATATTGATATCACATGATTAATTAAAAAAAAACTTGGGAAAACAATAAAGGGAAGGAAGTGATTTGATTACAAAGAACTACCACCAAAGGCAATAAATCTTACCATTATGAAACCAACAAATGGGAAGCTGAATTGTTTTCGTAACTAAATTACAAGATTTCTAAAAGAAAAGATATTAAATTAAGGTTGAAGATGGTAAGCTTAAGCATATAGTTAAAACAAAACTAAGAAACTTCAAAATTTAGATGAACTTTAGTATTAAGAGAAATAGTGCCAAGGCTTGTTTGTGTAAGGGGCAGATCTCTCTTGATTTCATCTATGTGTATTTACAATAGTAAACATCCCTTAACAACATGCCAAAAATTTACAGTAACATCTTAAAAACCAACAACAACATAAAATCTACAACAAATCAATTATCCTATTGGTAATGTCGATTATACTCTAGAAATTTGCAACAATTGAACAACTTTGTTGATAACAAAAACAACCACTAAACTTTTTCCCAAACAAATCTGCATTAACAAAATAATTTTCAACTAACAAAATATCTACTAATATAAATAACACACAACACCACCCTATTTACTGTAAAATTAAGTATAAACAGCTAAAACAACCAAAAACTAAACTAAAACAACTGATAAACATTTCCGAGCGAATCCTTAATATTACACAAGGAAACCGCACGACGCGAAAGTCTGTACAATTGTCGATACATACAACGCCAACGTATATATTATTATAATACCGTTGGAGTGTTAGTATAAGTTCATGTACAAAAACCATAACAAAATACAGTGATTTTGTTATGCGAAAATAGAAGCAGTCACAGTACATCATATTATGGAATACTTTCCTTCTAAGTCGGCCAACATGAAAATTTAAAATACAGAACTTATGTAGCCAAAGCTTCGGTTTTGCAAATGGGGCATACATTCTTCACTAGTAGCCACTTCTTTAAGCAATCTGCATGATACTCGTGTCCACAATCAAGAGTTCCGATCTTCTCTTCGTTTTCATACTCCTCCTGTCAAGATAATTAGAAAATATCATGGTTAGAACTTGGAACCGGATTGTGATTTAGAACTTAGAACTGCGAACTGGGGGTTCAGAGCTAGAAAATAATTTTAAGCTTTCAAACAAAGAAACGTGGCAGCTCAGCTCTAAGGTTCATTACCTGACATATAATGCAAGAATCAGCTTCCAGGTCAACTGGTGCTGCCTCTTCAAGATTTATATATTTTGCAGATGTTAAATAATTTCTTGTTTTCAATTTACTATTAACAGCTTCCTCTGACAACCCAGTGTTAACATTGCCAATCCGCTCCCCCAGTGCAAGCAATTCCTGCAGTCATTCAAAAGACTCCTGTAAGCGGGCTGGCAAACTTCAAATAAATCAATGCAGTGAACGGTAGAAGATATTGATGTGCCTTGACTTACCTCATAAGACATGTCCTCTATGTCAAGGCGCATATCTCTGTGATGATCAATAAAATTATCCACGTCTTCATAAAACTCTGAGAATTCTAACAGAGCAACTCCCTATGGAAAATCAATCAAAAGATGTTAGCATATCTATGAACAGAAATATTATGAAATATGAACATCGATAAAACTTTCACTTTCATGAAAGAAATGCAACAAGAGCAGAAGAAATTACATCTGGGGGTAAAACTCTCAGGTAAGGAAGGTTGCGATGTCTTTGAGATGTCTCAGGTACAACATCTTCTCGGTGAGGCCGGTAAGTCCTAAGGCCACCAGGTGGCATAGGTCTCACATGCCTAGACCCCATCTCTAAACTGTCCTGTGAAGGATTCATGGGGTTGTTCTGTGGGGTATAACTTGATGGAACGCGATATGAAACTGCAGTTGCTTGTGGATGAACACTAATGTTGTTACCTCTCACACCTTGAATGGGAGGCAATGGTTGATGATAGTTATGGTGCCGAAGGTTGGGGGGAGAAGAATTAATAAAGGTTGTGGAGCTTCTATGCACTGTTTCCCTAGGACCACCAACATTACTCCCTACAGACCATGTAAGAATAAGAAGAGTCAAGGCTAGTGCTAAACCTGTATATAACCATATTCCTATTAAATCCTTAAATTTTTAATTTTTTTGAGGGAAATATTTTATGAATTTAGAATATAACCGGCATGTCAAATAAGTGAGAATTAGAATAAAGAAATTACCACGCATGTAAGAAAGGGCTTGAGCCTGACCCCAAGATGAAGCACCTCCATCTGTCCTGGCTGGCTGAAAGGGCTGACCTATATAGTTCCCCTGAAAAAGGTGGTTATGGTTATGTATTGAAATAGGATCCACTGCAGTAGCGCCTAATCTGTTCCTTGCACCACTATGAGATCCTACTTCCCTGATTGATGGAGCACTATTTGCTCTGTATTGGGGAGGAGTGAAACATGCAGAATCAACTAAACCATCAGGATGCCTTGTATTTAAAGGCACTACTGAAGAATTGGAACTTGATGGGGCATTTAAATAATGGAAATTCCCTTGGATGCCTTCTGTAATCTTCCTCTTATATAAGCTTCTGGCATCATCCATAAAGTGAACGTTCCTACCATATTCACCAGCAGAAATTCCAAGGGGGCTGTAGTTGCTGGAAGAAGGCAGCTGGTCCATGGGCCCTTGGTTCATAGGAATACTAGAAGGTGGGTTTGTCATGTAGGGAAAATAGAAACTGGATACAGTTCCGACACCTAGTTCAAGATTTAGAGCATGGGGATGAGGATGCTGAACACAAGGGTAGTGGGGGATCCCATAGAACATATCATAGGGATCTGATAAAGAATGAGCATCAAAACTAGTTGTGTTCCCTGAAGCACTGACTGCCATCTCAGGTGGTGGAAAGTTTGTTATGCCTCCCAAATATATACATTGCTCGGGATGGGGATATTGCTGTCTTTGCTGATCACTTTCTAAATCCAAATCAATCATCTGACTACTGCATGGTATATTTCTTGCGCCCATGTTGTTCAACGAAATTGTTAAAACTATTCCCTGCTTCAAACGTCAAGACATTAGAAAGAAATGTCTAAATTCTAAACTATAAACTTATATAAAAATTTAGGCTCCATTTTGTATAGTTGTGGGTTTTGGTTTTCAATTTTGGTTTTTATAAATTTTGCAACTCAAAACAAAAAATTCATTTAGTTTCATGTGTATTTCAACATATTATTAGAATTATTAGAGAAATAAGAATATAATTAGTTCTAATACTATTAAACAAGTTTATAGTTTTAGTTGTTAGTGTTAAAATTTATTTTAAACAATTATTAATTTTTATACAAGTTTATACCACTTAGAATCCACATCGGCACGTTATATGAAAAGTTAAAAGTTCTCCTAACCTTCCCCTATAGCTAAGTTACCTGGAACATTGTTGGCCTCAAACATGAAGAGCAAAAAAGATGCTTTTACTTGAAGACCATTACTATATGTGCAATACTATTGAAGATAACAGAATGTTTCTAGGGCTCAGCACCTGGTAGTATGGTACCATGTTTTGAAATAATCAAAATCAGTAATAACATGCTATTCCATTCATGACAAGAAGTTATCAACTAGCAGAAAGTTTGGAAATTCTCTGAAGCTTAAGCATCAATAAGGTAATAAAATGTTGCAATTGAATGAAATGTGTTTAAATTGGTTGAGGCTCATGGTGCAACATTGGATGGTATCAATGGCACATAATGTTTTCATCAAGTTCTCACTAATAGCCAATATGCATTGTTTTGCATTCTTAACACAAAAAAAAAAAAAAAAACATAGACCTCAACCAAAGCATGCTAAACTTCTAG